TCAATGGCACAATAATTAAAATAGTAACACAAAAAGAATATAAAAGCAAGCAATCTGAAAGCAACCTGGCATGGACAATTGGCAAGACGATCGAGAAAAGTAACACTAATGGACGACACCTAAGTTTCCACCAGGAGCGTGTATGTACCTATAAAAATACTTGGGTGTTTGGTTGTTGGATGTGACCGTCACACCATCACGTTTAGAGTACAACATCACCATTATAATGACACTGAAAAATTTATTGTGTATTGAAAAGGAAGAAAATTCAGTCTATTTGCCACATTATTATTCGACATTTGACATCATGAGGCTGAGTAATACGGCATCACTTAATCATAGTCATAGTCCATAATCACAGACTGCTTGAAGTTGAAATCGCTTTCCTTTTATCTTTAATTTGATCATGGATATAATCATTAGAAGTAAGGACATAATAATTGTGATTAAGCATCAGATTCAACCAAAAAAAGAAGTAAAAAGATGATAAGAGGAGGAACAAGAGTAAAGAATACAAGGATGAAGAATTTATAACCAACCACCAAAAATGGAGGTGATAGTTTTTACATACTGACTTCCCATCAGTCCTCTACTAACTTACAACAAATATGATTTTAAGAACAAAGCCTAATAATCAAGGAAACAAAATGTTGAAAGCAGCACACACTACAGCAGAACTTCCTTCTTTTTCGGTTCTAGAACAGGAGGATCGACGTCGATCCCCATATTAGCTGCAGTGCCTGCTATAATTCTCATTGCTGATTCTATAGTTGTGCAATTCAAGTCTGGCAGCTTTTCTTGGGCAATTGTACGCAACTGATCAATGGTGACCTTTCCCACCTTCTCCAGCTGTGGGTCTTTTGAACCTTTCTCCACTCCTACATACCACCCAGCACAGATAAACAAATATTCTACTATTATGCTAATCAAAAACTGGCAAGGAATAGCATTTAATTAATCACCAAAACGATTGTTATGTGATTGCTCCTATTATAAACATATATAAAATGACAAACTATAACAACCATCCAAACTATTTCAGGCTTTCCAGATTGTGATAATTCTCAAAACAGTGACCAAGACTCCACGAGGAGCATATGTGACAGATATAATCAAAACCAATTACCATACTGATTGAAGTAAATAACTATCATATTGTGCATAAAAGTAAGCATGCCAATTTTCCTTAGTTTTATCCTGAGATCTGCAGCATTCTGGAAATTGCTCTAAAACCTCATCTACGATTCACTCCAGCAATTATTCGTCCAAAAAAAAAAAAATTCACTCCAGCAATTATGGTAGCTACTCAAGTCTATGGCTCAATGGCAGGAGATACTATGCCAAACTAATTGGCAGATGAAAACTCAATGGCCAGTTCATGATGGCAGAACAATACAGACCTCACATTAATAAATAATGTGAAGGGGGTCACCCATGAAGATCATTCATCCACACCACCTTAAATCTTTTCAACTCGAAACAATTTCCTTTTCTTTTTTTAAATTCTGTCAGTGTGAGTACAAAAATACAAACTAATCCTAGCACAAGAATATTGGGTAAGATATCCATTGGATTGGATGAGCATCAATTAGCAAATTAACATGGTAAGACATCTTCCAATACAATCCAATGCCATTGTTTAAGAAATATTCAGAGAACCAACATCAAACAATTAGAGAGCAAAATGAAAGAACAGAAAAGGAGCATATACCTGCGGCCTTAAGCAGCAAAACCGAAGCAGGCGGGGTCTTCAATATGAAAGTGAAACTCTTATCCTGGCATCAAAAAATCTGATAAGATAGTCAAAATCTTTCAAACATTAACCAAGATAATGAACAATTTATACCAAAAACGCAACACAGACTAACATCATAGACGGTGATTTCAACTGGAATGACATAACCAGCCTTGTCCGCTGTCCTGGCATTGTAATCCTTACAAAAAGCCATGATATTGACACCCTTAGAACCCAGAGCAGGGCCAACTGGTGGAGCAGGCGTGGCCTTTCCGGCCTCCAATGCCAGCTTTATCATTCCAATCACTGCAAAAGGAAAACCCATCAAGGAAATGAATTGGAATTTGTTGAAGACGAAGCAGAAAAGTGAATCTGAAATACCCTTCTTGGCTTTTCCACCGGGCTTGGCTTTTGGGGGAGCCATGGCGATGACACTGAGACGTCTCCGAGTTTGGAATTGCAGGGACGTGTTGGGGTTTGAAGAGAACAAGCTGCTTATGCTTATGGGAGAGCCCCAAAGCGAAGAAGAGAGCTGACTTTTCACATTGTTTGGGTTGCTGCTCTTCTTTGAACAGAAAGAGGAAAGGACATGGTGACAGGAAGACACAGAGGACGCCATGGCAGAGGTTTGAGTCACTGAGTCTCAGCTCAAAGGCAAAGTTTTGGATAAAACCCAGTATCCTATCTTCCAAGAGACGACCTCCGTCTCTATAAGGCAAGAAAACGACGTCGTAATTTTAGGTTGGGCCATAGTCTGTAATCTGTCCAAAATGATGGTACAGTTAGCCCATGAGGCATGAATAATTGGGCCACCTTCTTTTGAACCCAAACTAAACTTCGTTTTGACAGTCCAACAGTGCATGTAAGGCTCATATCGCTTGACAGTCCACATCTATAATCCACATATGACACTCTCCTCATAGAATGACTCGGGCTCATATAGCATTGTTTAAGAAACAAACTTCTATGTCACGGATGTATAATTTTATTTTCTATCTCTCTCGTTACGTAATTTAGATATGAGAGTCGCTATGAATTAATTTATCCTAAAAGAACAAAGCTAAGGTAATAAAATAGCCCGCCAACACCTAGCTTTGTTATAAGGAAAAATAATATTTCTTCTCTGCTTAAAACTGAAAAGAAAACTGCTTTCTTATTATCTATACGAAGAATGCTTGGTACGTTAGTACAACAATACATGTGTGTGGGTGATTTTCAGTTGTTGAAGTAAATAGGGTTACGATGGCGACTGTTAGCCCATGAGACATGAATAATTGGGCCACCTTCTGTTGAACCCAAACTAAACTTCGCTTGACAGTCCAACAGTGGATGTAAGACTCATATCGCTTGACAGTCCACATCTACAATCCACATATGACACTCTCCCCATAGAATGATTCGGGCTCATATAGCATTGTTTAAGAAACAAATTTCTATGTCACGGATGTATAATTTTATTTTCTCTCTCACGTTACGTAATTTAGTATGTCATGAAAAAGATACATACACAAAGTATATGCACCAATGACAAAGAAGTTTGTCTCTTTTCATAAAGTAGAAATTATCACATGACAAGAACTTAAAAGGAGTATAGATATGAGAGTCGCTATGAATTAATTTATCCTAAAAGAACAAAACTAAGGTAGTAAAATAGCCCGCCAACACCTAGCTTTTTTTGGTAATAGCAAGTGAGCAACCACTCCGAGTCGTAGACCTGAACGGATTTGACTCTCCCCAGGGGGTGTTTTTCACAAGGTGGGATTCGAACGCTGGACCTCACTGAGGCCAGCTAACATTCGCCCACTTGCAGGCCTAGCCAGGATATCCACTAGACCAAACCCCTTGGGTCGCCAACACCTAGCTTTGTTATAAGGAAAAACAATATTTCTTCTCTGCTTAAAACTGAAAAGAAAACTGCGTTCTTATTATCTATACGAAGAATGCTTGGTACGTTAGTACAACAATACATGTGTGTGGGTGATTTTCAGTTGTTGAAGTAAACAGGGTTACGATGGCGACTGTCTCTACCTTTTTGGTTTTTGTTTTTTTTAATTGTGCCATCAGTATGGAAGAAATGTCATCAGTTTCACCCAACTATGTCAGTTTTTAATGCTAATAAACAAACCCAACAATTTGTTTCTGAGATATTTAACGTAACAGCCACTCCTTTTAGTACAAAAAAGACAACATTTGCTTAGGCCTGCTGTTTTGGCTTTGAACCGATCAGCAAGCAATCAATATCAGACTTTTCATATATTCTTCTCCTAACCGCATTTCATAAGCCCAGTGCAGATAGAATAATCCCTCAATTCAGGTTAGTCTTCGGAAGGACCCAAGATATCGTGACTTGTAATATATTCTACTTCGCATGATGACTTGTCTTTTTGGTCGTCGCCGTCGTTCTTGAATCCCTGCAGAGTGCTGTGCAACTACTAGTGAGGCTCATTATACAATTTCATGGGGACTGATTGGTTTTTGACTAAAGTCTATTATTTTATTTCATCAAGAAAGAAGAGACCTAGAACAGTTAAAACCCGACCATGACTAGGTTTACAGACCGAGTCAAGTATCAACCTTGGTGTGCACTTGACACTCATCAAGTATCAAAATGGGTCTGCAGACAGAATTGATATTATCTTATCCATGAATGACACATTTACGGCGAAAATGACATGGGTGACCTCAGTCAAACATGTGTTTAAGACAACTCTAAACCATTGGAGTTTATTATTAAAATCGACATATTCAATTCCCCGGCAATGTATAACATATGCTATATAGTTATACATCTGCTATATGTTTTGTTCAACACAACACACCTTCCATCCCTCTTTCCTTCTGTATCTCATGGGGCTCCCTTGTGTTTGCATAAAGATGCCGAAATGGTGCATAAGCATCGGGACACTTCTAAGCCTGCTTCAGTATTTCAAGGTAATGGTGATACTGGCACTTAGTCATCTGCGTCTGCTCAAGCCTTCAGAACAGATAACTGAGTCAGCTACTGACTCCATGGAAGAACATCATCATCCGAATCCAAACAATTATGTTCTTGTGTTGGATCGTATGTGCCCGTCGATAGTCCCCATCCCAATTCATGTCCTAACTGCATATATCAAGAGGAGGCTTCCAGTAGTGGAGTTTGTTCAAGTTCTTGAGAGATACACAAAGCATGCAAGTGAGGATACGGTATGCTATATATGCTTGGAGTACATAGAGGGAAGCCATGAGGTGAGGGAACAGTGCAACTGTGATCATGTGTTTCATAGGGAGTGTCTAGATAGTTGGGTTAACCAGGGCCAGCTGACCTGCCCTTTGTGCAGAGCTATGTTGTTTTCGCCCAAGAGCCAAAAAACGAGCTGTGGAGGAAATCCATGGACAATGGATAGGGATGCTTACTTGGATAGATTAGATTTCATTGTGAGATGAATAATAGTAAACTCTTGCCCTCCAAATTTATAGTTTTTACTTTGCTTAAACTTTGCTTGAGCTAGTTGAAATGGCCACAAGAGAGTTCAAAATAGACATCTCTGTAAATTATTACTTGATCTCCATACTTGTAAATTACTGTAATGATTTTAAATTCTGAGCCTGAAAAGCCGTAAAATTACATTAGTTTGAAGAAATGGTTAATCAGTCACTTGAACTATCAATAGTTGATGCACTGAACCTGCATCAGGCAAACCAACAAACACCTTGCTTACAATCACAAATGGGTTTGGTTCAAAAATAAATAAACCACTTCAGAAACTGGTAAAAATCAACAAAATATGGATATCAAAAGTCTATATATTCATTGATTGAAGCAGAAGAAACTTAAAAATCATGCCATTACAGATTCAAAAACCATCAAACACTTTGTTCCATCATAACAAGTTTTACAAAGGCCCCAAATCAAAGAAGGGATTTGATTACATATGCTAGATTTAACCTCCGAAACCATAGAGGGTTCTTCCCTGCCTCTTGAGAGCATAGACCACATCCATGGCAGTCACCGTCTTCCTCCTGGCGTGCTCAGTGTAAGTCACAGCATCGCGAATCACATTCTCCAAGAAGATCTTGAGAACCCCTCTGGTTTCTTCGTAGATGAGGCCGCTGATGCGCTTCACTCCGCCTCTACGAGCAAGTCTTCGAATGGCGGGCTTGGTGATGCCTTGGATGTTATCCCTCAGCACCTTCCTGTGCCTCTTTGCCCCACCCTTTCCCAACCCCTTTCCTCCCTTTCCTCTCCCTGACATTTTCTCGGAAAATTTTTTCACCTTCCAAACAGTTCGATTTTTCACCTAATCAAGTGAATGTGGTGATTTGACTAATGAGGGGAAAGGGGCTTTTATAGTGGGGAGCGATCTTTGAATTTTTGCTTTGCCGCTTCTGTTTGAGTTTTTTCTGCGCGGATTTTTGTGAATTTCAATTGAGACGTTGGATTGAAACTTATCGACGGCTGGGCGGGTCGATCCGCGTGAGTGGCATTGTCTTAACTGAACGGTTGATTATGGGTCATCTGACGGCTGAGACGAGATACTAAAAGAGAACCTGGATCACACGCAAATGTGGTTTTGCGGCTGACGCATTCAATCTTAAATTTAGTTTATTATTATTACTAACCTCTCCGCACTTGCTCCTGCACCTGTGAGAGGCCTTTTTTAAAAAAATATAAATTTATTTTAGCATTAAAAAAGATAACGGGTAGCTTAGGGTTTAGGGAGAGCTTGCCCCCCGAATGGGGTCCGACCTGGCTCGAGGGATTAGTCCGCAGGGGATAACCTTGGATTCATCCAAAAAAGATAATGGGTAGTTGTGTTCCATAAAAATAGGATCCATTATTTGATTTTTCTTTTAATTTTAATTTTTTAAATATGAAAAAGTGTGAATTTACCATATTATCCTCATTGAATTAATAGTTTCAATTCTTAATATTTGCATTAACCAAGGGCATTTTTGGGTAATTTGAATGTTTTACCATTCTCTGCCTTTTGCTTTATATATATAGATTATTATTTGTGTCCAAGAGATTGGAGTTTATTACACTAGATATAATTTGCACAAATATTAAAAGAGTGATCAATGATGCTCTTGTCACATGCTTTAAGGTTCGAATATCTTAATTTATTTTACCAAAGATTGGAATTTAATTGTATTCAATATCAATTGTGTTGAATTTTTTATATATACAAAACAACATTATGGGAGGAGGAAATCAAGCACAACACCTTGGGTGCAAATTTGTATGCTCTTGACCCTTTGATTTATCATCCATACAAAGCGTCTGGTATACTGCCAAAATATGATCTATGCTGGTCCAAACCCTACATTTTGAAATTCTTGATGTCCATGATTGGAACATATTGGAGCAATTTAAAATCTTACAAGTTGTTATTTAGTCATATTTGATTTCCCAGAGATCTCATACATCATTATATGATTCAAATCCGATCACACGAATTGCTATGGGGCTCCTGACAAGATGCTCTCCATCTGTCCATGTTAGGCTCCCAAACTTGTAATCTCCATGCATCTTTTGAGTTGTGAAGAAGGTGACTTTGAAGGGAAGAATTTGAGTGGTTATATTGAAACTTAAAGTTTGAGGCTCAACTGTCATTTTTATGCCAGGAGGAGCATGCACCAATGCCTTGTACTTTGAGTTTATGTGCCCTACATTTGTCACTGTTCTTGTCACAGTTGCTGTCCTCTTGAGGTTTGGGATTGTTATGGAAGGGAGGTTGAGGTTCACCCCATGAGTTTTTGTTATGCAGTTTATATTGGTCTTGGTTAATCTGGTAATTGAGGCACTGCTGTAACCAAGGGAGCAGAGGAACTGGATGTAGTCATCTGTACTAGCATTGAAAATGAGGCCCGGATCGATTGCCTTATTGGGATCAACATGGCCACCGCCTATGTCGAAAGGGTCAGCTTCCTTGCGGGTTAGGCCTTCAGCTGAAATGCTTGTTCCATCTGTTCCAGTCTGGGAAGCTGCAATTTGCATAAGAGTTAAGTGGTATGTGTAAGTTGTACATGAGCATGGACTTTAGTTTTCACTGTAAAAATAGATGTTTTGGTTTTGACTTGCCAGTGGTGACTAGGGCTGATTTTATTGCTGAAGGAGACCAATTAGGATGTGCAGATTTGATGAGAGCTGCTATCCCTGCAACATGAGGGCATGCCATTGAAGTTCCTGATAGCAGCGCATAACCGTTGCTATGTTTCGTGTCACGTGGTCGAAATGCAGCTATGATGTCTACGCCCGGTGCAGCTATGTCAGGCTATGTCCATTGATCAAGCATTGTATAAAAAATAGGTCATAATGACATAATGCAGATATGAAGAGAAAGTAAACATGGTATTTGATATGTGTGTCTGTTTTTTATATGATTAGTACTGTTACCTTCAGAACTTCTGGTGTCATGGAACTAGGTCCTCTAGCTGAGAAAGAGGCAACTCGTGGAGAGACCCATTTCCCAATAACAGTTTTTGGGTCACTGAGCTTTGCAATTGGAAACCTTCATTGCCACAGTAAACAACTCAATTTTGTATTATATGTGTGAATATGTCCACTTTAATGTTGTCTCCATCTTCTTATGTTCTTACCGTGCTTTTCTGATGTAGGAAAGTATTTGTGTCCCTACTTCATAACCTACTCTGATGCATGGAATATCGCATGACGCGAGCCCATGGTTGGGAAACTGAGCAAATATAAGTCCAACCCCTCCGGCTTCCTGCACAGTGTTTGATGCAGACTCTATGTCCTGCTGATCTGATTTTGAGAAACAAAGAACTATTTTCCCTGAGGCTAATGTTGCGTTGAGACTTCCAGGCTGACAATCCTTGCTTGAAGTAAAATGGAAGATTGTGACACACAGAACATGCAAAGATAAAGTAAGATATTAATAAAAAGGAAAGAAGAGTTCTCACGCTGAATCATTTGTCCGGTCTAAAGCTATGCGTTCGGAGTATATGATGCCAACAAATCCATGCTTATGTTTTCCAATGTCAATGGATTGGCCCTGCAACAGACAGCCATTGCAAGAAATCTTAAGTGACTGCTTTATTTTTCCTATTTTTCATTCCAAGGATGAGTTAGCTTTACCCAAAGAGTGTGGTTATTTCCAAGTGTAATGGCCGTTGGGAAGGCCCTGTCTATTGTGGTGGCTGCTACAGTTATGAGCCATGGTGCAGTGTTCACAATGGTTTGCGAGATAGGGCCATCATTTCCTGCTGAGCAAACAACTGTAATCCCTTTTGCGGTTGCATGGAAGGAACCAATTGCAATTGAATCGCGCTGATCAACGTACGAGAACAAAGGAGTCACATTGCCTACAGAAAGAGATAGGATGTCCACTCCATCATGAATGGCCTTGTCAAATGCCTTTAGAAGATCAGCATCAGTGCATCCTTCAAAGGCCCAGCAAGCCTTGTAAATTGCTAATTGAGCAAGAGGTGCTCCTCCTCTGGCTAACCCTGAAGCTAGTCCTCTGTAGTTGGCTCTCTTGACAAAGTAGCCAGCTGCTGTGGAAGCTGTATGAGTGCCATGTCCAATTCCATCCCTTGGTGACAGAAAGTCCACCACAGTGTTGGTATCGTTAATATTTTTAAAATGTTCAATCGCGCCTTTTCTAAACCAGCGAGCACCAATAATTTTTCGGTTGCAGTTGGTGGAGTTAAAGTGCTCTCCCTGCTGACAAATTCCTTTCCAATGTGTTGGGATAGGATCCATGCCTTCATCATTAAAACTTTCAGACTCTGGCCAAACACCTGCATATATTCAAATTTGTGTTCAAGTACAGTTTGAAGTGTACTAGTATGTATAATAGGGGATGCTACCTGAATCTATTAAACCAATGATAGTTCCTTTGCCCATGCTCTTTGTTAAAAGATTTCCCGACAAGTGCTGATGGATCCCAATAAAATCCCAACTTCTGGTTGTGTGGAGCTTGTGAATTCGATTTCGAATCACCTGGACAACTCCAGGAAACTCTGCAGTTTATGGTGTTAGCAATGAATGATGATAAAATAGTATGCTCATCATGTAGTTTCTTGCTAAATACCATACCCGCAATTGCTTCTGCCTGAGATTCTGTTAACCTTGCAGCAAATCCAGAAAAGCCATGCTTATAGCTGTATATAATGGATCTGTATGCAGCTTCTTTGCTTCAAAATGAAAAAAAAAGGAGCTTTCTTGTTATGTCTTTCTATATCTAGGAATGCAAATCATTTTGACGTTAGGACTAAAAGAATGAACATTGTATAGAATAAAGCCATACCTTCCTAGCAAGGTGGTTAGTATTTGATGATGAAACTTTTTTGTCGATGCAGGATCATCATTTTTTTTTCCTCCCAAATATACAATGTGCACCTGAAAACACTCCTTGTCAAATAGCTGTGCAGAAAGAACAAAGAAAATGGAGTTGGAGCTAAAACTTGAGATTATGTATATACACTCACTTCACTTGTGGCCTCAACAAGTATTATTGAGACATGGAGATAGTGTTGAAGTAAACAAAGAGCAAGAACCACAAGAGAGTAGTTTTTTCTTGCACATATCCAGTCTCTTCTCGTTTTGGAATCCATCAAAAAAATGGAAGACTCGAAAACTCCAGAGATTTTCTACAGGTATTGTGCACTCTTTAGAAGCCAGCCATCCCTGCATCTGTAATGGTCCTAGTGGAAATGTTAAAAGTCGAAAATCTTTTTTCTCTTGTAATATAATGCTCAATCCATGTGAGGACATCATTTTGGGTAGAAAGTTTTTCCTCAAAACTTTGAATAATTTGCTTTATCTACTTCCTCAGCCTTTTCTATTGTCAACTTGAACAGTAGGGCACACAAGCTTGGTGTGATGTGTATGCCAAGGCCAAGCATAATCTTTTAGGACCAGCAAAAAAGCATGAATATTTTTCATCTTTTATTCATCTGCATTCTGCTGTGCCTTTTTTGAATATGATTTGTTAACTGCAAATACACCAACTAAAAATTATGGATTGCTTATATCTAAATATAAAAAACTCATCTGTGAAACTCTATAATATATTATGTGTACTTTGATTGATAGTCTGTCCTCAAATGATGAAGAGTGTTAGTTGAATGATTGTGGTGCTGCACTGCACTGCATTGAAGTAGGCCCCTACCACCACGTTTATTGGACTGGCTTTTTATGAGAGCCCTGCCGTGAGATTTCCAAACCCACAACTTACGAGTGGTGCTTTTGCCTTCCATTAGTGGGACTATTTTCTTTTTCAAGGAAAAGCAGGATTGTTTTGGGACGAAAAGCATTTCTGTAGAAACCCCATCATGTTTCAAAAAGTAAACATGATGACAGCAGAAGGTGAGTGGGAGGATGACTTGGGAAAGTTGGGGTTGCAATTGACTTCTGTCTGTCCATTTGAGCTTGGTTCATGAATCAAAAATAATGCTAGCGAAAGAAAATGCTGTTGCATCATTTTTCATATCCATATCAATTTGCCCACCAAGGCACCTGGTTCTCTGTTCTTCAGTGCACTCACAAAAGAGAATCAAATTCCTTGTCTACTTTCCTTGTTCATCAAGCAGACTCATATATTCTTTATCTATCAATTGACATTTCAATTATGGCAACAACAAAAAAAAAGGCTACCAAATGACATTTCACTTTGACTTTTCAATGGCCACACAAGAAAGAACAAACATAAGTATACTGGTCTCCTGCAGGGAGGCCCTGGGCACAGGCAGGCAAGGCCTCTGCCTAGGACCCCCAATTTATATAAACCCTATAACTTATGTTTAAACTCAAAAAATGTAATAAGCTCAGAAATCTTATTAAACTATAATAGTATTTTATTAGATCTTGATTATTACATTCTAATGCCAAATTACAACTCCATCATTAATTTGCATAGTTATCCTTCTGGCATGGATTATTAGATTTTCAATTGCCATCTGTATAATACTGAATGATTTGTGTTCTAACAGATATGGGACTTGTCGCCAAATGCTCCCCATCTGTCCAAGTGAGGCTTCCGAAGTAGTATCCTGTGTTCACTTGGTGGGTGGTGGAAACTGCAACAGTGAAAGAAATTGTTTTAATGGTGGAGTTGAAGACCAAAGTGTCAGGCCTAACAGCTACACTGATGCCAGGTGGAGGGTCTATGTTAGCTTTGTATACTGAGTTGACTGGACCAACATTTGTGACACTTCTGGTGAGTGTAATATTTTCTCTCAGATTTGGAATTGTAATGGAAGGCAGGTTCACATCCAGAACAGAAGGCTTGACCATGGAACAAGCTGTGGTTTGTCCAACAAGTTGAGAGATAGCTGAGGTGTTGTAGCCAACAGCACAAAGGTACTTAATATAGTCTTCTGTGCCCATGTCATATATGAGACCAGGGTCTGCTGCCTTGTTTGGGTTCACAAGGCCTCCTCCATAATCAAATGGATTAGCAACCTTCTGGGGTGACCCCTCAGCGAAGATAGGCTCTCCGAATGGATCCGTTTTCCATGCTGTCATGAAATTTTGCATTAATGTGGTTAATTAATTTACACCAAAGGTTGCAACTTTTGTTTGTAATCATAACGGTAATGGATGAACCTGTTGTTACTAGGGCTGATCTTATTGCAGCAGGGGACCAATTGGAGTGCAATGCTTTCAAAAGTGCCACAATGCCTGAGACATGAGGAGTTGCCATTGATGTTCCTGAATGCAAGGCAAATCCTCCATCCATGAAAGGATCATAGGGAGAACTGCCAGCTAATATGCTCACACCGGGAGCGGCTATGTCTGGCTGCGACAGCAAAAATACTAAATGGTTTAATTGGAATTCAAGTTTGTTACTTTTAAGGGGCTTCAAGTAGTAGGGTTTATTTTTTACCTTGAGTATGGCTGGAGCAATGGAGTTAGGCCCTCTAGATGAAAAAGTGGCAACCTTGGTTGATACAGGCTTCCCAACCAGTGTTGCAGAAGGGCTCAATTTTACGGTTGGAGATCTGTTTACCAAAGAGAGTAATGGAAATTTAACATGTCAACAAAGAAAATGAGCATGATGGTGAACCGATTGATGAGGATGGTTAAGAACAAAAGTACCCGGTGGAACGGATGTAGAATAGTATCTGAGTGCCAAGCTCATAGTCTACTTCAATGCATGGGAAGTCATTGCTGCATGAACCTAAGACATCACCAGGAGCTTTGGCAACAATAACCCCAACCCCACCAGCTGCCCTAACACTGGAGACCGCAGTTGCTACTGGAGTTCTACTGGCCACTGTTGTGAAGCAGAGAACTACATTTCCAGCCACCGGTGTGTTGTTAAGTAAAAGGGACTCGCAGACGCTGCAAGTGAATCTTTGTTATAGGACAATGCAATGTATTGTGCAAAAATCTACTTACTACCATGATCTTTGAACAGTATTTAAGCACCAAAAATAAGTATAAAGAAGGCAAAGTTTTGGATTTATCTCAAGCAATCATTTAAAAATTCAAATCTGCTAGACAATAAGGGAGACAGAAACTAATTAGAACAACTGGACACATAAATACATTACCCAGCTAGTGAAGGGATAAGTCCTGGGTTCTCTGGGTACACCAAACCAGTAAAACCAACTTCTTTTCCTGCAAAAATGGCTTGACCCTACAAAATAAAATAAAAACTTAGATTAAGAAAATGAATTATATATATGGTAACTTCATGAAGTTTGCCACAAATTACCAGAATGGTTAAGTTGTTCCCAAGTGTAATAGGTGTAGGAAAGGATCGATCAATTGTAGTAGCTGCTACAGTTAAGATCCATGGTGCTGTGTTTTCAACTGTGTATGCAGAAGGCCCCTCATTTGCAGCTCCACAAACAACAGGTATACCCTTGGCCACAGCATGGAACGAACCAATGGAAATCGTATCGCGGTCATCAACCTCTGAAAACAGAGGAAGTTGGGTGCCAAGAGATACTGATATAACATCAACTCCATCATGAATTGCATCATCAAAAGCTTTCAATATGTCAGCAGATGAGCACTGCCCCCTTGGCACATTCCAGCACACTTTATACATCGCCAAGCGAGCGCGGGGCGCTCCACCTCTTACTGATCCCAGGCCAAGGCCTCTGTAGCTGGCATTGTACACAAAGGAGCCACCAGCAATGGTAGATGTGTGTGTTCCATGTCCAACAACATCTCTTGGGGACAAGAAATCTGGGCTGTCAGTGGTGTTGAATGGCTGCTTATTCTCAGCAAGGAAACCATCAATGTACCATTTTGCTCCTATAAGTTTTTTGTTACAATCTGCTGAGGCATTGAAGCTCTCTCCAGATACACACTGACCTTTCCATTGGTTTGGGATTGGTCCAAGCCCTTCATCATTAAATACCTTTGACTCTGGCCATATACCTGCCACCATTTTAACACTACTTTTTAAAATCATATTTTCTATAACTAAACTCACAAACACAAACACATCCACCCCTGCACCCTAGGTACTAGGTTTGATTCCCCTCTCGCCCAATATGGCTTGTCTCAAAAAAAACTTACAAACACAAATACAGAAAGAGAAGTGAGAGCAACCTGTGTCCAGAAGGCCAATGACAATTCCATCTCCCAAGTTTGTGTCATGCAAAAGGTTAGTGGGAGAACTAGGAGAGAGGCCAAGATAATCCCAACTCCTAGTTGTTTGCAGAGAATAAAAGTGACTGGGCATAACCCGGATAACTCCAGGTAACTCTGAGTAAATAGAGATCATAGAAGAAAATCAGTGAGAGTAATATTTGGAATTTGACTGCTGAGCCACAAGAATTGAATCTCTTTAATAAGTTGAAGCCAGTGTAAACAGGAAAACCTACCTGCAATCTTCTGAGCTTGAGATTCTGTGACTTTAGCTGCGAAACCGGAGAATCCATGCTTGTAACTGTACACCATAGAATCATAAGCGGCTTCTTTGCTGCATGGACATAATGAGGCAAATAGTCAACTTGAAAGTCTTGAACAAACATAATACTTGTGCAATCCAGGATTTCATCAATTCCTCTGGGGCCTAATCTAAATTTTTTTCAACTATAGTATGTGTGGAAAATGATGTTATCATATAAAAACATATGACACTAACATTCCATTTAATGAGCGTAAAGGTATTAAGGGTTTTTTTTTTATAACTCTTTCGTTTAAGTGGTGCTTCTTTTCCCAATATTGAAAGAGGTTCTGAATTCGAAGATATATAACGGGTTTACAAGATAAATACCTCCCAAAAACTGAGGCCAGCATGTCGTGATGCAAACTGGTTACAACCTCAGGATCGTGGTGACGCTTTTCACCCATATAGACTATGTGAACCTTTAAAAAGAAAAATAAAAAAACAATAGTAAGAACCACAAATATATGTTTTTTTTGTGTTTGGAGAAGGAAGAGATTTCTAGTTTGGGAGCATTCACTTTACTCTTGGCATGGACCGTCCTAACCATAGTGTTTTGGGTACAAAGCACTAAGAAAATATTAAATGTCACAAACATTGAAACTTTGTTGCTCATCTTCTTCAATAAAAGAGAAGCCATGGCGTTTAAGCTTCAAGTTTTTGAAGCTTAAAAGTTTGGTGCATTGCCTTATATAGTGTTTGATTAAACACATTAAGCCCATGGGAGGGTAGGATTGTTTCTTATGCAAGCATTATATGATGCTTACACAAATGAAATTTGACTTTGACACATATTATATACATTCTGTATGAATTTTGTTAATGAAGGAGGAAGGCTTCCTGATTCGTCGAAATTCAAAGATTGATCAGTACTTATCCGAGGGTTTTGTTACAAAATATGATTGTGAAGTGGCTAATTGGATCATAAGCCTTGTCTTTGCAAAGATTGTAGAATAATATAAGTCTCACATTGGAAACTTGACTAAATAAAATACAACATATAATGAATGGTACCACTACTAATATTACTGAGGCCTTCTGTAATAAAATCTCACACCTATTAGGCTTTATAGGTGGTTAAGTTGGGGGACAATATCAGTGTTGCTAGTAGTGGGCTATTGGCTTGTCTATCTAAAATTTAACAAAAATTTGACTAGGGTTATGAACTCTACAACCTCCTGGAGTTAATTAGCATAAACAAAGACAAAGCGTAAAACAACTAATAAAAAATGGTATTACTTATCTGGGGCTGATTAGAAAAGGGGTCTAAGAAATTGGTTTGGAAGACTTGGGGACTAAAAAATGAATAAATTTATGTTAAGAACAAATTAAAGGATTGGGGCCTAAGAAACTTGCCAACCAATGTAATCTGAGAAGATAAGTTTGCAAAATAAACAAATCAAATAATTGAGAAGTCAGTCCTGAACCCATTTCTTTATGAGCTCCTAGAAGTTCTTGCTAGAATGATAATGATGAATATGATATAGAATAACAATGGAAGAAACCCTCCTATTTCTTAATGATCCTAGTCAAATCTCTTTTTAATTTTGTTTTAATTATAAAAGTAAGAAAGATAATGGGTGGTTCCATAAAAATAAGACCATTTTCTGAGTTTGTTTTTTATTTGTTGAGGCCCAAAAAATCCACGGTTCGGCCCAAATAAATTCTCGGCCTAATGCAATACCTTACCGAGGAGAAGCTCGATTAGGGCACGCGAAAGTTCATCATACGCGCTTGCACACATGCCACGCCAAGCAAATAAGCTACACGTCGCGCTACAAGCTTAAGTGGGCCCAAGCCACTCAAATGCCCGGGGCTTGCTTGAGTGGGTTGTGGTATGGATGGTAATAAATCAACATGAGGCCCATTGATGGGCCAAGAAATGGAAGCCCTGAGTCGCTTGGGAGCCTTGGGACTCAAGCCCATTTCTTAGGCCCAAACATGTGAGTGAGCACAAGAGGAAGAAATAGCTCAGTCAAAATAGCCTATGAACCTTACCAAAAGCCCAAACGTTTAATGAAAATAGCCCAATCAAAAATAGCCCAATCAAAAAGTAGCCTATTGACTCAACCAAAAAGCCCACTTACTTAATGAGCCATCTTGGCCCATACAATTACCCCAGCTGGCTGGGAGAACAAAAGCCACGAAGGGGGAGGTCTGAAGGTTTATTGAATAAAGCTGCTGGAGGTTCCAGCACATGGGGGAGCAAGTTCCAAGAAAAAATCTTTCAAGGAACCAAGGAATATTAGCACGCAAGGAGGGATGCCATCCCTTGAACCAGCATACAAACCCATTTTCTTTCCTTCATCAAATTTGGCCATGGAAAAAGGAAGAAAGAAGAGAAAGAAGATGGGTGAAAATAGAGGCTCTCCTTTGAAGCAGCCAAGGGAGGAAGCCTTGAGCCCTCAAAAGTCTCTGATTTTGTGGGATTGGGCAGAGCTAATTATTGCCACCATAAGGTAAGTCAAGAGGGAGGAGAAGAAAGAAGGAGGAAAGCTTAGCTAGATTGGGAAGAAACCATTAGGGTTTCTTGGAGAAGAACAAACCCCAGTAACTATAAATAGGGCCTCTTCTACCCAACACAACACACACTTGGGAGAGCAAGCTTCCTCTCCTACCTGCAAGCTCAGTAATTTTCGTGCTTTGCTGGTCTATCACCCTTATTCCCCTCATTTTTTCCTCTTCTGGCAGGCTGCTCAGAGTCACCGACGAGTTGCCGGAAGTGATACTCAAGTCACCCATTTCTCTCTTTCCCTCAATCTCAACCAAACCTCTCTGCAAAACCCTTTCCTCTCCTACCTTAATACCCCATCTTTCCCCTAGAAACACTTAATTTTCCCTCAGTGCTAAACTCATGTTGATTTTGCTTCCATGCCACATGCCTCTCATGCCAAGCCCAAGATTTTATCTGTAAGCATGAAGAAATTATCTGTAAGTTGCTGTTGTTTTGGTTGGTGAAGGTAACCAAAATACTTCCTAAGGCCCTACTGCCATTTCAAGCATTTTGGGGCTTAATTTTCGAACTCAGACAAAGGGGACAATTTCATCAGCTAAGCCCACCTGCCGCCGGAAGAAAAAAAGCCCCTACATTATTTTACATTTTTTAATCCAAAAATATATAAATTTAAGAAAGATAAAATGGGTTGTTCAATTAAAAAAGGAGGCATTTTCTGATTTATTTTATATTTATATTTTTTTAATCCAGAAAGATATAAATTTACTATATTATCGTCATCAATTTAATATTTTCAATTCTTAATACTATCATCAACCAAGGACATTTTATGGTATTTTGAATGTTTCATCATTCTCCGCGAAAGTATTTAACCTGTGTTAAAGGGATAAAATTGTTATGAAAAAGTTAAAACAAAAATATCGAAGATTATATAAATGAACCATTTGTTTGGGAATTTTTTTTTATTTTTTTATGGGTCAAAAACATTGCTTCATTGTATCCCCAAAACAATTTTATAAATTCATGAAACCAATTTTACGTTGCAGTTCAGTTTTCTTGGATTTTGGGTTTTTGGCCCAAAAATTAGTTAAATCAGAAGTGAGGCCCAAACTGCTCAAGACCAACGGTTATTTTGGTTTGATGTGGGGCTGATTAAGGAATTTGACCACTCTAAATGTTCATTAACACAACTTTGACAGAGTAAATAGCTTACTAAATTATTTCATTATTCAGTCATCATTTGCATCATAAGGTTGCAAAAACTCTGTCCTCACAGACAAAGGAATCCTTACAACATGCACTCCATCAGCCCAGCTAAGGCTTCCGAAATAGTATCCAGTATTCATCCGGTGGATCGCGGAGATTGTGATCGTGAAATCGAGCTTTCGAACTGTAGAGTTGAAGACCAGAGCATTGGGATTTAGAGATACAATTGTACCAAATGGAGGCTCAATGGTAGCTCTGTAAATGGATTCAGGGGCTCCCACATTTGTTACACTTCTTTTTATTGTGATGGGATTTTTGAGACTTGGTATGGTTATGGAGGGTAAGTTCATGTCAAGGATAGAAGGCTTCTTAATGGGACATTTTGTGTTCTGCCCTACAAGCCTAGAGATGGCAGAGTTGTTGTAGCCCCTTGCACAGAGATATTGCATGTAGCCGGCTTTGCCTATGTCATATACTAAACCAGGGTCTGCTGCTCCATTGGGGTTCATAATGCCGCCTCCAAAATCGAACGGATTTGCCAGCTTTTGAGGCGATCCCTCTGCGAAGATCGGTAAACCAGACGGGCCATTCCTCCATGCTGCATGAAAATTTAGAACATGGTTAAGTTTAGCATGTATCGTCAATGAAATTAGGAACATGTGATCATGTGGTTACCAGTTGTGACAAGTGCCGATTTAATGGCTGCTGGAGACCAATTGGGATGCATTGCTTTGAGAAGAGCCACAATGCCCGCGACATGAGGAGTTGACATTGATGTTCCTGAGTGCATGACATATCCACCCTCCCCTAGTGCATCAAGTGGAGAAGTTGCAGCCAGAATGTTCACACCAGGGGCAGCTATATCTGGCTGTCCAACAGAAAAATAACAAGAAGATGATCTAAGAAGAGTTTTATGGTGAATCTTGAAGCGAAATTGGAGCATAGACATGGACTTCTCTCTAAATTTGAAGAAGGAACTAAACACCGCCGGCTTCTTTCACAGCTGCTGAAGCACTTGTTATATCTGTCCTAAGACTGACTGTAGTGAAGCAAAGAACCACCTTTCCAGCTACCATAGTTTTGTTAAGTGACAGGAATTGGCACACACTGCAAAAGGGTAACTCATGAAAATGAACTATACATAAATACATATTGTTACGCTAATTTTGGGGATGTATTACAAAGTAAAAGATCATGAATCTTGAAGCGAAATTGGAGCATAGACATGGACTTCTCTCTAAATTTGAAGAAGGAACTAGCTAATGTTATAGGAGACAAAACTTGAGAGCTTTCCAGTAACATGAAGGAAAAATAGATGATCTCTTGAAGAACATGTTTAGTGTTCAATTTACTAAAACTTTCGGA